AAAATTAATATATATATGAACGAGATTGGTATATTAGGCAACAAATGTCGAATGACACAGATATTTTCGGAGGAGGGGTTATTGATACCAGTTACTCCTATTTGGGTTGGCGATAATGTGATTTCACAGGTGAAAACAAAGGAAAAGGAAGGTTATAATGCCTGCCAAATTGCGTTTGGTGACTGTGCGGAAAAAAATCTTAATAAACCGAAATTAGGACATTTAAAAAAAAAAAATGTTTCACCTAAAAAATATCTGCGAGAAATAAGAAATATGTCGGGATTTGCTGTCGGTTCTCCAATTGATTTATCCCATTTTGAAGTAGGAGACGAGGTTGACGTCACAAGTAATTCACACGGAAAAGGAACCGCTGGAGTCCATGAAAGATTTGGGAACAAACTAGGGCCCAAGTCTCACGGAGCAGGATGACCTCACCGTCTAATAGGATCTGGGGCTGGCGGACGAGGCACTAATCAAGGTATGCCCAAAAATAAAAAAATGCCCGGTCGCATGGGAAACAAAAGAGTTACACAAAAAGCAAGAATAGCAAAAAAGGACCCGGAAAAACGCATTATTTTCCTTCGTGGGGCGGTCCCTGGTCCCGTCAAAGGATTAGTGATTTTGAAAAAAATAGACAAGAATATTTTGCCGTAGACTAAAAAAAATAAAATAATAACATATGGAAATTGACATTAGAAAAGAAAGTGAGCAATTACAAAAAACCACTGTCCCTTCACTCCAAAAAATTACTCGTCAATGATATTTTTTAGATTTGAAAAATAAAATAGTAGGGCGAGAAGCTACCACAAAAATAGTCGACTTGTTGCGGGGCAAAAATCGCATAGATTTTACTCCCCATTTAGACTTAGGAAATTATGTCGTATTAATTAATGCTCGCCATACTTCTTTTACGGGCAACAAATTAGACAAAAAAAATTATTACAATCATTCCGGTTATTCGGGCGGATTACGGACCCGAAGCACCTGCTTAATGCTGGAAAAATATCCTACTGAACTAGTTTTTAGGATTATTAGAGGTATGTTGCCCCACAATAAATTAGGAGATAAACAAGCCAAGAGATTATTTATTTTTGCT